ATAAATTATTCAAATTCATGTACACATATTTATTTTCAAGATTATTCATTTTATTATAAATTATTCTAAAAGTACATAAATTATTAAAGATCATATAATTTAGGAGCTATTCAATTATTACAGAAGTAGATAAATTATTCAAATTCATGTACACTTATTTAATTTCAATATTATTCATTTAATCTATGATATTACGTCATTTGTTTAAATACATATAAAGTATCCAATTTCTATATTCATTGATTCAAATTCATTAAATTCCATGTTGGTTCGTACACACCCCTTTGTTTAAATGTATATAAATTATTATTTTTCTATATTTATTAATTTAAATTAATTAAATTTCATATTGGTTCACTTATATTCCTTTTATTTAAATGTATATACATTGTTCTTTTTTTATATTCATTGATTCATATACAGGTAAATCTCAATTTTGGACTTCTGCAGGACGAAAAGTCTTCCATTGCCCAGTGGAGTAGGTTTAATAATCAACAATCACCTCAACATATCTTCTATATTGGTAAATCTCAATTTTGGACCTCAACATATCTTATATATTGGTAAATCTCAATTTTGGATTTCTGCACAACAGCACAACAAAAAGTCTTCCATTGTCCAGTGGAGTAGGTTTAATAATGAACAATCACCTCCACAAGTCTATCTCCGTGAAACCTTTTCAGTAGTTATATCATTATGTGACTATTGGTCGATATCGCTACAAGACTTGATTCAACTTTGGCTTACTTCCAGTCTTTGAATTTCTGCTTGTTGCCAGTTTAGAGCCTGTTTGACAATTATTATTTCAGAAAAAAAATGAGTTTTGAATAGTATTTTTAGGAGAATGCATGATTAACCCTCATGACCATTGAGGTGAGTATCCAGCCGTAAACTTCAAAGTCCTGTGGGATTAGTCGATGTGCCCGCAAGCTGACCCGGACATCCACGGTTATAAAAAAAAAAAAAAATGCGTAGTTAAAACGTAAGAAATTTTTTGGCATGTGTACAAAATATTTTATTACGTGAATTTG